TTTTTTTTTTTTTTTTTTTTTTTTTTTTTTTTTTTTTTTTTTTTTTTTTTTTTTTTTTTTTTTTTTTTTTTTTTTAACCCCCAATAAGAATCATTGGTCTGTTTTTGGTTTCTGCTAATGTAAGCATACCTGCATGTTGTTGCTTTTTATTTTTGACAGCAGCTTCAATTATTTGGAATAATTGTTGATCGGGAACATTTTCCCGTAACAAGTCACGTAGATTAACTTCAGAATTACCAAATAAACACACCTGTGCAAAATAAAATTGCATTGATTGTATTAAGAATTGAGAAAATAATATATTATATAAATAAAAAAATTGCTTACTTTCAAATTTCCGTCAGCAGTAATCCGAAGTCTATTACATGTTCCACAAAAATGTTCAGACATTGAAGTAATAAATCCAAATTGACCTGTGAATTCCGGTATATTATAACCCTATTCATAATTATTTCAATTATCACAATTATTATAAATATCACAATTATCACAATCTTATTAATAATCACAATTATCAAAATATAAAATGTACCTTTGATGTATCATGAATATCTCCAGGAATTTTTGAAACATGATATCTGTTATTAATCATATTCAAGATTTCTTTATATGGGATAAATTTATTCTCATTCCATTTGTTGCCATCAAATGGCATATATTCTATAAATCGTACATCAATTGGCTTGGAACGTGTCAACTCTATAAAATCTAATACCTCTTGATCATTCACTCCCTTCATTATTACGCAATTGATTTTAACTGGTTTAAGACCCAATGAAATAGCCAGATCAATAGATTCCATTACACGTTCAAATCCTAAGAAAGTGAAAGTTTAAGCAAAAATAAGAATTAATTAAGAATTAATTAATCATTATCACAATCAATCGAACAAACCTCTGCGACGTGTAATTAGTTCAAATTTAAGGGGATCTAATGTATCAAGACTAAGATTCAATAAGTTTAATCCATTTTCTACTAGTCTTGGTAATTTTCTCTTTAGTGCAATTCCGTTAGACGTCATTGATAAAGTTTCAAGTCCTTCCGACCTTAATTTTCCCAATTCACCTATTTAAAATGTTTAAAATTATTAATAATAAGTTTAATCGGAGGGGAATTTTCCTCCACCCCTGTAATATATTTTATTGTCTATTTTATGTTCAAGTTAAGGGGTTGGGGTTGTGTTACGTGCAAATCAATTAGAGATGTTACATTTTATTATCACACTCTCAACATCCCCATCATTCGATTTTTATCATATATATATATATATATATTTTTTTTTAAGGACGGAAAATTTTTTGGGTCTAAAATACTATTTGTCACATTTATATATCACTCAAGGGAAAATTTCCCTGGTTAAAATTAACAATACTCTTAATAATAATCTAAATAATGATAAATTTTGATAATTTGAATAATAAATCAAGCATACCAACTAAATCAATAATGTCATTCCTCACAGTAGGCTCGCCACCAGTCAATCTAATCTTGTTAATACCTTGAGACACAAATAACTTTGCGATTCTTATAATTTCTTCAAAAGATAAAAGTTTATGTGAAGGTGTTAAATCAACTCCTTCTTCTGGCATACAATAAGTACATCTCAAATTGCACTTTTCAGTCAATGATATCCTAAGATAAGTATGTTGTCTCGAAAATCGATCCGTTAGAAAATTACTGAAAGGACGTTGTTTATCGATTGCAACAATTTTTTCCTATCATAAATGAATATAAATAAATTATGTAAGATTTTTTTAAGAATTCTTTTTAAAATATATATATATATATATATATTTTAAGCAACGTGGTTGAAGTTACCTTAATACTTTGTTTAGAGTCTTTAATTTGGGAAGAAATTGAAGAGATTTGTCGAATTCGATTGAAATTTTTTATAATGGACGACCTTCTGTTGCTTGAAAGTCGAGAAAAAAGACTAATCATTTTCACTACGGAATGAAATTAACGAAAATTATTTAAATTATTTATTTATTTTGCTTATCAACAATATAATTATTAAAATTATTAATGATTATCAGATTATTGTACATAGATAAGAAATAATAAGAGATAATTAAGAAACATCCCTAAATTTGCCTATCATATATATAAAAAGAATGTTCTATTGAACAGGAGAGGATTTTTTTTTACCCCAGAACACAAAAGCTAAATCATACACAAATATTTATATTCGTTTTACAATTGAAAAATGACAAGTCACTAAAAATATTGTAATTAAATATTATTCTCTAATCAGATCAATTGTTTGGAAAAGTCTACACAGATGTTTTTTATATTTAAATAAACTAAATTAGTAAATGTTTATTCCAATATGAAATCCATTCGATTTTAAAAATAGTGATAGGGATATTCTAGAAATCGTTAATTCTGATTCCTGAAATAATATCTAAATCTTAATTTAATTTATTTAATTTATTTAATTTATTTTATTTAATTTATTTAATTTAATTTATTTAATTTATTTAGTTTATCTAATTGATTTAAAAAATTGAAATTGTATACATTGTATAGAAAAGTATTCTACATCTTCATCTTTGGAATCTTTTCCACTGTGATTGAAAAAAAAAAGGATACATTTCGTTTTAGTTTTAGTTTATCGTAGAATTTTTTTACTGGTAGCACAAATGGAGATTGATTGTCACATGAGTTAAAAAAACTATTCTGTAACTTTTCCATTTTTATTAATGATATTCAATCATTCATCTTACATCTGACGTCAAATCAGGAAAAAAAATATATAATATATTTTTTAATTCAAATAATTATAATGGAAGGTACGGAAAAGATTGTAGAAATAATTGACGAACCGAAGATTCAAGAGATTACCGAGGAAAACTCGGCTGAAGGCTCCAAACTTTCAGAAAGTGAAAAAAAAAAAGAAAGTGTAAAGATTCAAGAAATTACGGAAGAGTCTGGTGCACTGGAAAAAAAGACCACAACAGTTGAATCTGAAGAAGAATCGGACGATGATATTCCAGAATTAGAGGAGGAAACAACAATTCCATCAGGTGTTGCACCAGTAGACATTACAAAAATGCAAAGTCGTGGAGAAAAAAAAGCTCGCAAGGCAATGCAAAAATTAGGGTTAAAACATGTACCCGGTATTAATCGTGTCACTATCCGAAGGCCTAAAAATGTAAGCGATTAACGAAAAAAAATAATTAAAAATTCAATTGATCCGAGAACTTCTTTGTTTCATCCGCTTCAACGTTGATAATTTTAGTATTTAAAAATATTTTAGATGTCAGAATTTTCAAATCAATTACAAATATTCTTACAGAAGGTGTTCATTTATTTTATTTTTTAGATTCTCTTTGTTGTTTCTAATCCGGATGTCTATAAATCAGCCAATTCTGATTGTTACATTGTATTCGGAGAAGCTAAAATCGAAGACCTTAATTCTCAAGCTCAGGCAAACGCAGCACAACAATTTCAAGCTGCGGAAGCCGCGGCAGCTGCTCAAGAGACTACTAAAGTGGAAGAAGAAATTGTAGAAGAAGATGAAGAAGATTTAAGTGTAGATGAGACTAATGTTGAAGCAAAGGATATTGAGTTAGTCATGCAACAAGCTGTGCGTTGTTTATTTTTTATTATAATTAAAATTTTTATTGATTTAAAATTCGATTGTATTATATATACATTATTTTATTGTGAATTAAATAAAATTTTTAATTATAATTTTTTTTTTCAATTTATATAAAAAACGAATCATACTTCTTTAGAATGTATCTCGTACTAAAGCTGTCAAAGCTCTCAAGAACAATAATAATGATATTGTTAATGCTATCATGGTAATCTTTTAATATTTTTTTTTTAATATTTTTTTAATATTTTTTAATATATATATTTTTTTATTTAAAATATTTTATATTAATCATATAAATTCTTTTAATTCTTTTAATTCTTTTAATTTGAACAGGAATTAACTCACTTATGAATTTATTAAGAACAAAAAAAAAAAAATTTATCAAAAAATTTTTCACTAGAAATCTAATATATATTATTTTTTTTCTAAACAAGAAAAAAAAAAAAAAAAAAAAAAATCAAGTCATCATGAATGTGATTTTTCAATATTATTATAGAATTGTGCATTTTTCTGTAAAAAATTATTTTTGCTCTAATTATGAATTTTAAATAATTTAAAATAAAATAAAATAAAGACTTGCGTAATTTATACATGTACATGCTGATAAAAATGTGTTGAATATGCACGTGCACAAATTCCACGCTATCTTTAATGTTTAACATGTTTAACCATGTTTTTTGAAATAGTATTTACTATTTATTATATTTAGTTGTGATCTACTAATGTAACACTGGATTTAAATATGATTGGCTGATATGGGTTATTTTTGAAACGTGACTTTTGCGGTGAATATCTGACCTTATGCCCCACTTTGGAAAATTTTAAAAAATTTATGATATATAAAATCTCTTCTGAAATTTTTATGAATAATAATCTTTCTTTTAATTTCATTAAGAGATAATATGTCGGGTTTATCGGGTTTAGAATATTCTTCCCCTGATATATTCGCAAGCAGACTTACAGATCATAAAATTAGTGAGCTTTCTTTTTATTTTAATTTTCACTTTTAATTATTTTTTTTTTGTATTCTTACGCTAATGTAACTTTTATTTTATTTATTTTTATAGCAACCAAAACAAAGTTAACCATTGCGACAAACTTGAGAGATTCGGTCGAAGTATATCAAAATGCCGATTATGCTCGATTCCTTCACGTTATGGTGCCTGTGTTGTCAAAAATATTGCTCGAGGAGTCTCCCGTGTTTGATAGCAATTCTGAAGAACAAGTAACAAAAAATTTGTTTATTTTGATCATAATCATATTTACCTATTCCCAATTCAAAAACAACTAATTACGCCTTTCCTAATTTTTAGAAATTTCGTAGCCTTCTCTTAGAAGTTGTATACCGATTACCTTCGAATGAGACACTTAAGCCATACGCTGGTGAATTATTAGGCGTCTTAATGAGATTATTGAGAATAGAGAATGAAGAAAACGCTGTTATTTGTTTAAAGATTATAATCGATTTTCATCGGAGTTACAAGCATCAACTAGAAAGTCAGGTCCAGCCATTTTTAGATATTGTTCAAGAAATGTATGCAAACATGGAACAAACTGTAAAGGAAACTTTCGATTCTCCTGCAAATGTTGCCACTCCAAGTGCTAGTACCGTAAGATTTTAAATTTTTTATTATTATTAAACGCGTGTTATTCAAAATTATAATTACGCGTTTCGATTATTAACAAAATTTTTTTTCGCGTTATTACGTGTTATTTAGCCGGTAGTTGTCGTACCTCCCTCACCACGTCCTCCATCCCCAGCATCAGATGTAACAACGAATGAAATCTCTCCTAATAAAGTCTTGGCCAGAAGCATGCATAGTTTTAAAGTCTTAACTGAATGTCCTATTATCGTGGTTTTACTCTTTCAATCTCATCGTCAATTTGTGACCGCAAATATTCAAAATTTTGTTCCTCTAATAATAAAGGTAATTAATTAAAATTGATAATCTTATGTTTCTTATATTATTAGAGTAAAACTTTTTGCATAAATATTTAATTAAATTAGGCCCTTGGGTTACAAGCTCGTCCTCAACTCGAAGCACAGGAAGCCGCTAGAGCAAAGGGTGAAATATTTGTTGGTGTGTCCCCAAGTATTAGGGACCGTGTAAAATACACGGAATTTATCGTAGCGCAAGTCAAAGTAAGATATTATATATTTAATTATATATATAAATTATATATTTAATTATATATATAAATTATATATTAATTATATATAAATTATATATTAATTATTCCATATTTTACAGACAATGTCTTTTTTGGCTTACGTTTTACGTGCTTATACTTCAGCATTGCTACGTTACAAAGACAAAATTCCAGAGTTTGTTATAAGGTTGCTTCAGGATTGCCCACCAGAGGCTTCGGCTACAAGAAAGGTAATTATATAACTTTTTTTTTTTGTTGATCTTTAAATTAGTGTGATTTATTATTTGTTCGTAACTGACATTTTGTTAATATTAAATATTTACTAATTTGCTTTTTATTTTATTTTTATTTTTATTTTTAGGAATTATTAGTTGCAACAAGACACATTCTTTCGACAGAATTTCGATCTGCCTTTGTTAGTAAGATTGATGTACTTCTGAATGAAAAAGTTTTGGTCGGTACTGGAGTTACGTCCCATGACACCCTTAGGTACTTTTTAATTTTAAATATACTTTTTCGAAATTTGAATTAATAGTTATATATATATATATATATATATAGAAATTTATTTATTTAATTTATTTCGTTAATAGACCATTAGCATATAGCATGTTGGCTGATCTTGTTCATCATGTGCGAGTGGACCTTTCTCCAGCGCAACTCTCAAGGACTGTATATATTTATTCGCGTAATTTACATGATCCATCATTGGCTCCTAGTATTCAAACAATGTGTTCCAAACTACTTCTCAACTTAACAGATTGCATTGTAAATAATCCAGAAAATAATCAAGGTTGTAAATTTTTTAAACGAGAAATATTTCATTTCTTTTTTTTAAAAAAAATAAAAATTAAAATTTCTTTTTATTGTATATTATGAAGATTTTGTAGCTCGTGATCTACTGATTAAAATTTTAGATACTTTTTCCAATAAATTTTCATCTTTGAATTTGGTGTTTGCTGACTTTCAACAACAACAACAGCAAAAAAAGAAAATTTCATCTACGAATGATGTAGATGATTTTGATTTTGAACAAGCACGTCCAATTCATACTACCCCTCCGAATGAAACTCAACATGATGCTATTAATGGTGTGTTTTTTTTTAAAAAAAATTCTTTATTTTAAAAATTATTTAAATAAATAAATATAAATATATTATATATATATATATTAAAAACAAATGATATTTATTATTATTCCTTTGATAAAAATATTCAGATGGAAGATTTTTATTTAGAAATCTTGTCTCAGGTTTAAAACCTATTATCAATGCATTGAAACAATGTAATCCATCTCCGCCGAATAATTGTAATATTCCCCTTCAACAATATAATTCTGTCGCTCGTGGTTTTACACATGAACAAATAGATATCCTTATTCGTTTATTTAGGGAAGGTGCACGGTGTTTTGATTATTTTAACGTTGACAATGGTGATATTCCTCAAATCAAATCACCTGATAAATTAATGTCTATGGACATACCAAATAGAATAGGTCCATATTCAAAGGTCGAGAAAGAAACACTTGAACAATTCGGATTAGCATTCGTCATGATAGATCCGGCAATTTTCCAAGAAATTTTTGCATCTCAAATGGAATTTTTCTTTAATTTAATGCTTCAAAATAACTCATTACTTCAAATTCCTCAATATTTTCTTGCTCATAGTGAAATAATATCACAGAGTTTTTCTGGAATAATTTTACGATTCTTGGTTGATAGATTAGATCGACTTGGAGGTCCTGAAGCTTACATAATGCTTCGATTATTCAAATTGACTTTCATGGCAGTTACCTTATTCCCTTGCCATAACGAGATTGTTCTCCATCCATATTTAGCACATATAATCACTTCTTCAATGAGACTTTCTTCTAAATCTAAAGAGCCAACCAATTACTTCATACTACTTAGAGCACTTTTCCGAAGTATAGGAGGTGGTAGATTCGAAATGTTATATAAAGAAGTTTTGCCATTATTACAAGTACTCTTGGAAGGACTAAATTCACTCTTATCGTTGACTCATAAACAACGCATGCGAGATTTATTTGTTGAACTTTGTCTTACAGTTCCTGTGAGACTCAGTGTATTACTTCCCTACCTTAGTTATTTAATGAAACCTCTTGTTTTAGCATTACAAGCTGGTCCTGAATTAGTAACTCAAGGTCTTCGAACTTTAGAACTTTGTATTGATAATTTGACTCCGGAATTTTTAGATCCTATATTGTCACCTGTTATAAATGATTTAATGCTTGCTCTTTGGAAGCATCTAAAACCGAATCCATATAATCTAGCTCATAGTCATGCTGCTACAAGAATTTTGGGTAAACTAGGTGGGCGTAATCGTCGTATGCTTAAAGAACCGCAGATACTTAATACTACTATTCCACCAGTAGCTGGAGTTGATCTTCTTGTAAATTTTGATCAACAAGTTTCATCTCATTCATTCCATTTAGATAATGGAATATCGTTGGCAGCAAAAACGTTACAAGATTCTACTGCTAGCATATTTTATAAAAAACAGGCATATAAATTTATTGCTGCATGTATTCCTTTGCTCATCGATTTGGATGAGGGTTCTGAAAAATTGGATATGGTAATCTCATCCAGAGTTCATTACCAATATTTTAATATGAAAAGTATGGAAATTCCAAATATAGCCTCTACTGATGAAGTCAATCAAAATATAAATAATGAACCTCGTGAACTTATAACAAATAATAAATCGATGAAAGAAGGTTATAAACAAATTCTGCGAAGGAAGTCTGTACAAGAGGAGACATTGCGAAATGTGATATGTTCGCTTTTTGCTGCATCGGTATTACCAGAGCTCAAAGAACAAGCATGGCCGTTCTTACAAAATATATGTAGACATTTTGCTTTATTAGAAGTAGGAGAAGCTCTTGATTATCGTTTTACAAGAGAAAAAAGATTGTACATTCTTGGCGATGAGAAGGATGATAAGAAATATAATTTAGAATCTAAAGTGATTATAGAAGCTTTGGTTGAAACAGTTACATCTGAAAATTCAAAAATTCGAAATCTTGCCGCATCTGCTTTGATATTAATGTATGAGGCTTGTGTATTAGTAACCGGGTCAAAAGAAATTATGACATATTTCCCTTTATTCCATATTTTGGCAATTAGGTTTTGTTCATCTTGTTATAAACCGGAATGGTATCGCAAAAGTGGGGGTTGTTTTGGAATCTCCGTTCTCTGCTCTCAACTCGATATGGGAAAACAGTGGATGCTGGATCATGAACTAGAATTTGCTAGGTCATTGCTTTTTGTTTTGAAAGACGTGTCTCCCGAGTTTTCAGCTGGATATGTGGATAACGTATCTCAGACTTTGATACATGTTCTCGAAGTTTGCAATCGACAAGAGACTGATTCAAGTGATGTTGATATGGTTGATGGTCAAGAGTTACAGGAAAAGGAAACTAAATTCGAAAGGCTCATTAATTTGTTGATTAATGAATTATCAAATGCCAATTCTTATGTTAGAGAAACTGTACAGATGTCATTCCAAGTTCTTGCAAACATAAAAAATACCGATGTTACATCTCTACTTTCCTGTGCTCGAAATACTTTGCTCAGTCCAATTTTCGGAAAACCTTTTCGTGCCCTTCCGCTTGCAATGCAGATTGGTCACATTGATGCAATAACCTATTGTCTAACTTTGCAGCCTCCTCTTGTGGATTTCAATGATAATAACGAAGAGCTTTCCAAACTTCTTAAAGATGCTTTATCGATGGCTGATGTGGATGAACAAGCTACGACAAATCGGACAAATCAGTACAAGACTCCAAATACTAATGTTAACCTCAGAATTGTGTGTATTAAGTTTTTATCCGCCTCAATGGCTCGCTCAGATTCTTTTCCCTCAAATACAGCAGTTAATAATCGCGCCCTTATAATTGGAGTATTTTTCAGATCTTTGTATTCAAGAGCTCCTGAGATAGTCGATGTTGCTAATAAAGGATTGCAACAAGTTCTTCAACAGCAGCATAAATTACCCAAAGATCTTTTACAGGCTGGATTACGTCCTATCTTAGTTAATCTTTCAGACCATAAAAAATTAACGGTTCAAGGCCTTGAAGGTCTTGCTAGACTTCTAGAGTTACTCACAAATTATTTCAAGGTTGAAATTGGAAAGAAATTGCTTGATCATTTGCGCCAATGGGCGGATCCTTCTGTTCTCCAAGAAGCCGCCGGGAAACCCCTAATTGATGTAGAACCAATTAAGATTATAGTAGCCATCTTGAACGTGTTCCATCTTTTGCCTTCCGCTGCTAATATATTTTTGGAAAATTTGGTTCATATTGTACTGGATCTTGAAGAACAATTACGTCGGTCATTATCAAGTCCTTTTCGTCTACCTCTCATTAAATTTTTGAACAGATATGCTTCTGAAACTATTGAATACTTTTATGAAAGATTAGGGGATTCCAAATATAGTCGATTGTTCATAAGCATTTTAGAAACAGAAGAAGCTATTAAACTTCGACAGTATATAATGGAAAATCCTAATTTACTTATTGAAAAGGCCTCAAATTCTAAAGATTCTGATGATTTTAATGAAGCAAAGTTTCAGAAAATTGTGATTATTCGAGTAGTTATCAAGCATCATCCAAATTGGTTTGGGGAACCCACATCCAAGCCTATTTTTAATTTTGTAAAAGAAATTTGGGACAACCCGGGCCGCATTGAACGATTGAAAAGAGAAGATTCTTTAAATGTATCTCAATGTTGTGAATCCAAATATCTTATTGAGATATTCATTAGTTTTTTGAAAGAAAACCGAGATAATATAGACTTCCTTTTTGAGTTGGTCGTTGTTTTCTGTTATGAAAGTTTAGTAGATTACACTTTCTTAAAAAAATTTTATTATGAAGAAGTTGCAACGAAATACACTTCAATACAGAAAAGGAATATCCTTGACAAATTTTTAGATAGTTTCGAAGACGTAAATATTCCATCTAACGTAAAAACGCAATCATTGAGAGTTCTTGTCACCACAATGCTTTTATATTCCTTCCACAGAGGACAAGAACAGATAATAGGAAGTGTTCAAATGGATAAGATTCAAAAAACTTGGCATTATTTGGCTGAAACTCATGACGAAATTGATGATTCTTTACGTATAGAAGTGCTTCAGTTTTCGACTCTTCTTGTGCAATGGGTGCCGAGTCTAATTACTACTCGTAGTCATCTTGCTAAACTCGGGTGGAATTGGTCTAGAGTGGACGATATAACTGCAAAACAAGCTGCATTTGTATTTTTAGCTCAAATATTTGCAGAGTTTGGCGCTGTACAGCCAAAAATTTTATTTCAGTCATATAATGCACTTTTACGCGCTCATCAACCAGAAGCGAGGACTTTGGTAAAGCAAGCTTTGGACATTCTCGCACCAGTGATACCAAAAGTAAAAATCCCCACACCGCATTCACTTAAGGATTCTACCGATGTGGCATTAAAGGATTCTAAAAATAAGAAATCGCCACCACCAACGTGGATTCAATACACAAAAAAAGTTTTGTTAGAGGATGGCTATAGTGTTTCTCAATTAGTCAATGTTTATCAGTTATTAGTTCGTCACCCCGATTTGTTTTATGATCATAGAGAACATTTTATGCCACAAATTGCGAATACACTTACAAGATTTGGACTATTGCAAAGTGCTACATCTGAAACCCGACTTTTGACTATTGATTTGTCGGAATTAATATTAAAATGGGAAAAACGTCGAATTTCAGAGAATCGTAATCAAGATCATATAAGTAGTAGTGCGGCGTCAACACCTGTCACTACTCCGGATAAAAGACGTTTCGACCTGGATAACGATCATTCTCCACGAAAAAGACAATTGATTGAACATGGTACAGAAATAAGAGCTATTCCTATTTCAGATCATAATCAAAAATATATTCCGAATATTAATTTAAGAGAAAATGTGGTTAATTATCTTGCTAAGTTTGTGTGCACTTCATCTGAATCTGTCAACAAGGTTGGGTTGACTCGTAAAGCTTTGGAGTTGATTAAAGAATTTCTGCAACATGAATTTTGGTCTGAGGTCAACATAAAATTAAGTGTATTCGATCGAACGCTTAAAATCGCGGAAATCAATAATGGTACACTTGATAGTATTTGTAATAGTTTGGAAGTGTTAACTATAATTCTTGAAAGGAAACAACAAAATTGGTGTCTTACCAATGTTACCCAATTACAACAATTATTAGAACGTATTATAGGAAGTACTTCCATCCGAATACAAAAGTGTCTTTACCCGGTACTAGTTCATATTTATAAATCATTTTCTCATGCACAAATTATTGAAGAGAATTCTTCTTCAACTACTTCAACTATGGAAAATAATAATAATATTAACAACAACAACAACAACAACAACCTCAACCACATCAACAACAATAACAATAATAATAATAATAATAATAATAATAATAATGATGATAATGATGATAATAATAATAATAATAATAATAATAATAATAACAATAACATTAATAATAACAATAACATTAATAATAATAATAACAATAACATTAATAATAATAATAATAATAATAATAATAATAATCATAATAATAATAATAATAATAATAATAATAATAATAATAATAATAATAGTAATGGTAATAATAATAGTAATGGTAATAATAATAATATACCTAATTCTGAGATTGAATCTTTCACCAAAGTTGTCAACACAACAATTCAAGAAGGACTTCAGAACATGAACAACTTATATGCAGTAATGATGTTATTAAAAGCAGTTTGTAGTGCAATACCTAGGAATATTGATTCATTTATGGCGGAAATTATTCAAGTCGTGGAGAAACTTACGAATGACGTTTTGAAACCTCTACAAAATGCGTCCACAAATATTATTCCTACTTTAAACGGTTCCACGCAACCACCAGATTATAACACTAGTGTGCTTATTATGGCGCTTCAACTTGTAAATTCTCGAATTTGCGATTTGAATGAACCAAGATCCGCATTTCTTGCCTGTCTTACTCAACTTGTAGAAAAGTCCAAAGATATTGAGCTTTTACGAACTATTTTTGAAATGGCAAAACAATGGGTGATCCTAAAAACTGAACCTTTCCCTACTATTGAAGAAAAAGCTAATATCTTGGTTAATATGTTATGTTTTGAATCTTTGGATGATAAAAGCTTAATGGAAGATTATTTAAATCTTGTTATCACAATATACACTAAACCATCATTTGCTAGAACTGAATTAACTTTGAAATTAGAGAGAGCATTCCTTATTGGTACTCGTAATGGAAGTGCTAAAATTCGTAACAAATTTATGGAAATTTTTGATCAAAGCATGATCAAATCATTATCTACACGTTTCAATTATGTGATTGCAGGACAAAATTGGGAACCTCTTGCTGGATACTTTTGGATTCATCAAGCTTTTGATCTTCTTATTAGTTCTATTTCAAACAAGAGAAAGATACAACCACCAAATTATTCTTTACAAACAAAACCAATAAGTTCTTTGGGTGGTGATTCTCATTCTACTTGGTTTGCTGTAAACCCTAGTGAAGAATTAACAAATTTCTTAAATAAACATAAAGAATTTTTACGTGATATGAAAAAATTAAAAGTTAACGATTTGTTGTTACCTTTGAAACAACTTCATTATTTAGACGATGATGTTGCATATAATTTGTGGTTGGATCTTTTCTGTCTTTGTTGGAGCTCAATACCTTCAAGAGAACGACAGGATATGTCAAATAATTTAGTATTCCTTTTATCAAAAGATTATCATAACAACCAAACGGATTTGAGACCAAATTGTATCCAAGCATTGATGGAGGCTGTATCACGTTGTAGTCCTCCCATCAAACTCCCGCCTCATTTGGTAAAATATCTTGGCAAGTCACATGGTGCATGGCATACAGCAATGGAAATACTTCAACGTGATTCATTCTCAAGTGTGAGAGGCGATGAAAAATTAAGAGAAAGTACTTTGGACGCATTATCAGATCTTTATGAAACATTATCAGAAGATGATATGTTTTATGGGTTATGGAAACGGAGAAGTAAATTTGCTGAAACAAATATTGGGATATCATATGAACAATGTGGTAATTGGATGCAGGCGCAAATTACATATGAAAATGCTCAAACAAAAATACGAAGTTCAGGATTACCAATCAATGAGACTGAATATCTCTTATGGGAAGATCACTGGATAATGTGTTCACAAAAATTACAGCAATGGGATATACTTACCGATTTTTCTAAAAATGAGAATAATATAGAATTGATGACGGAATGTGCTTTTCGTTTGATGGATTGGACCAACGATAAGGATTATTTGGAACAAGTTATTCACACATTATTGGATGCACCGTCTCCAAGAAGAAAAATGTTTGAAGCATTTATGAATTTAATGAAATCTCTTCATACAAATAGTTTAGAAGATTTCAAGAAAGTATCAATAGAAGCCCATCAATTAACTTTGCAAAAATGGCACACACTACCCAACGTGGTTTCGTACAGTCATATTCCTTTATTACATTCATTTCAATTATTAGTAGAATTTGAAGAAGCTACAAAAATGTTTTCATCTTTAACAAATGTTAGCTCACAAAATGCAGACGCAAAGGCTAATGAATTAAAGAGTATTTTACAAAGTTGGAGAGAACGGTTACCAAACATGTGGGATGATATCAATGTGTGGAGTGATATTGTAGCTTGGCGTCGTCATGTATTTAGTGTAATAAATAAATCATTTGCACAATTTCAAACTCAAACTTCCAATAATACTATAAATTATCCTTTCCGCGGTCATCATGAAACAGCATGGACGATTAATAGATTCGCACATGTCGCAAGGAAACATCAGCTCTCTGAAGTATGTCTTAACTTTTTACAACACATTTATTCTTTGCCCAATATTGAAATTCAAGAAGCATTTTTAAAATTAAGAGAACAAACTAAATGTCATTATCAAAATTCTGCCGAAATTCCTAGTGCTTTGGATGTTATTAATAACACAAATTTGAATTACTTTGGTCCTCAACAAAAAGCCGAATTCCATACTCTACGAGGAATGATATTGGCAAAGTTGGGTCGAGATGCAGAAGCAAATGAAAGCTTTTCACGAGCTGTTCAGGTGGACATGCGTCTTCCCAAAGCGTGGGCTGCATGGGGATATTATAATGATCGAAAATTTAAGAAAGAACCTAATGATACTTATTTAGCTGCAAATGCTTTGAGTTGTTATTTACAAGCTGCTGGACTTTATAATAATCCGAAATCAAGAAAGTTAATTGTCCGTATTTTATGGCTTCTAACTTTGGATGACAATCTTAACCAGATAGGACGAGTATTTGAAACATACAATAGTAAAAGTGATGTACCAACATGGTATTGGATAACCTTCATTCCACAACTTATCATAAGTTTAATGTATAAGGAAGCAAAATATGCACGTCTTCTTCTTATGAAGATCGCTAAACAATATCCTCAAGCTTTACATTTCCAATTAAGAACGGCTAGAGAAGAATATAAACTTATTAAAAAGCAAGCTGCTATTCAACAACAACAACAAGCTGCCATTCAACAACAACAACAGCAACAACAACAACAACAACAAGCTGCTGCTGCCCAAGCTCGTGCTGGACAAAGTTCCACCTCTAATATAAATGCTCCGAGTACATCAACTCCAATACCACCTTCTACTCCTGCTAATGAAGGAACAATATTACCATCAACTCCGCAACTCAATACCAGTATAATAACGAATGGAAATAATAGTCATCCTCGCTCAGTACAAATAAGTTCAGATCAACCGAGTCCTGTTCAATCAAGTCCCAACCAAGCGAGTCCCCAAGTGAGTCCCCAAGTGAGTCCTCAAGTAATTAACTACGCTCAATCTAGCCCGATATCAACGCAAACTCCTCTAAGTCCAGCTAATCATATACCGCAATCGCAAACTCCAACGATAACAACAATAACTAATAATGTATCAGCTCCCACTACGCAACCTCAAACCACGTCTAAACAACCTTGGGAACATGTAGAAGATATAATGTCCATTTTAAAAACTGCATTTCCATTGCTTGCGCTTACAATGGAAACCATGGTAGACCAAATCCAACAACGTCTTAAACCATCTTCGGATGAAGATATTTACAGACTGATTGTCGCACTTTTAAATGACGGAGTTCAGGTATTTCTTATTAGGTTTATCGGTTCATTTCATATGTGTAACTTTATAATTAACTTAATGCTTCCTTGTACAGCAATTAATTGCTCGCCTTTTTCATCCCAATGATACTGGCTTATTAAATCCTATAACGGAAGCAAACATAAAAAGATTTGCAGATAATTTATATCCTGGTCCCATCAAGGTTTTTATTAAAAACTTTTAATCAATATTTGTTATAAAAAAATTGGTAATAATTTTTTTTTTTATTAAAATTTTTTTAGTCAGCCTTTGAAGAAGATTTTATTGTGAAGAGTCCAAACTTAGTAGAATATGTTGAAACACTTCGAAAATGGAGAAACCGATTTGAAATGATGTTAGATAATAAACCTCGTATACAATACTTAGAACATTATAGTCCATATCTAGCCGAATTTCAATATCAAAAATTCGAAGAAGTCGAAGTTCCAGGACAATATCTACTGGTTTGTTCTTATATAACAAATATAATGATATTTTAAAATTCATTTAAATCAATTAATTTATTACTTACAATTAAAGAAATTACTTAAATTATTTATAATTTTTTATATTAGCATAAATATAACAATAATGCAGATTTTATACGTATCGATCGATTTATGCCAGAGGTGGATGTTGTTCGATCAAATGGTTTTTGTTATCGAAGATTTACCATACGTGGTCATGACGGTAGCCTTCATTCTTTCTCAGTTCAACATCCTTCAGCAAGACAAAGTCGTCGCGAAGAACGAATACATCAACTTTTCAGACTTTTGGATGGGTAAATTTATTCGTTTAAATTGTCTGACTTACATATATTTATTTTCAATCAATAATATTTTTATATAATCTTTTATATAATATTTTATCTATTTTATAGCGTATTAGATCGTCGTAAAGAAAGTCGTAAAAGAAACTTATTTTTCCATCTTCCTTTAATAATTCCATTAGCGCCACAAATTAGAATTGTTCAAGATGATCCATCATATTGTTCATTACAAGATATATATGAGGATCATTGTGATTTTACCGGAAAATCAAAGGATGATGCAATAATTTATTATACTGAAAAGATGAGGGCGAATATGGCACATGTTAAAAGTGTAAGAATAAAATTTTTATTAGATAAATTATTATATATATAACTAAATATAATTAAAATATATGATTTCTAATAAGATTGTTCATTAATAATAATTTTTTAGAGAAACGACATTATAAATTTGAGAGTTGAAGTTGCCGACCAGATTGCAACGAAATTTATTCCAAGTGATATAGTGTCAAAGGTTTATTGATAATTTTAATTAATATTTTGATATTATTGTTAATTGAATAAAATTCGAGGTGAATTTTTGTAATTTTGATAATTTTAATGCATTCAATTAGTTTATGACCAAAACCATGAAATCAAATGAAGATTTATGGACAATCAGAAAACAATTCACAGCACAAATGGCTTCCGTTTCTTTTATGACTTATATCATGAGTATTTGTCAAAGACATCCACATAAATTTATGATTTCAAGAAATACCGGTAAAATATATACAACCGAAGTGCTTCCAAGTAAGTTTAATTATATTTAGATGATGATGATGATTATTATTATTATTATTATTATTATTGATAATTATAAATTATTACTAATTATTAATTATTATTCTTTATGATTATTAGATTTATCTTCATCTCATCCTGTTTTGTTCAACCCTGAAGCTGTTCCATTCAGACTTACTCGTGGTCTTCAGCACTTTATGGGTCAAATTAATATAGAGGGTGTATTTTGTTCAGGTATAAAAAAAAAAAAAAAATTTAAAATAATTTCAAGTGTTTTATTTTATGACAATTCACAAATTTTAAACCTTTTTATTATAGCCTTAATGTCTATTGGTCGCTGCCTCACCGAACCTGAAGTAAGTGTTTGATATACTTCCTTTTATATATATATATATATATATAAAGAGGGAGAAAACATCCACCATCATGAAAAAGTGATAATTAAAATTTATTTCTTTTCAAAAAAGTTTGATCTGGGTCAATACCTGGAAATTTTCATTAGGGATGAACTTAAACACTGGCATTACGTAAGTCAACAACCTGTTAACGAGCAACAGCTTCGAATGAAGGTCGCAATGAATGTGGATCAAATAGTTCACAAAGCACGTGCACTCGGTTCTCTTGATGTGGATTTAGAAAAATTTGACAGAGTATACAAAAATTTTATTGTTATTATTAAACCCATTTCGAAAAAGAATTTGAAAAAATAATAACGCGTTTTTTCTTTATGATTTATAGACCCCTAATAATTCGAGGCCAGTTAACACTATTTTAGATTTAATAGGGGCTGCAACTAACCCCCCGAATTTGGCTACGATGGAAGTAAGTATATTCGTTTAAATCTTATTGATTCAGATAATCAAATTTTTATTAACGTTACTTTTTATTATTAAAAGGTTATTTGGATGCAATGGTTATAAAAAATGCATTTTCTGTCTCCATTCTACCAAATAATATAAATATCCAGATATATATCTAAATACTTTATTTAGAAAGATTTAGGATGAATTAATTATAGATAGAATTATAATTATTTAGATTAACAATAATTAATGTAGTATTGTAAAAAATATATATATTTAAAAATATTTAAAAATAAAACAACTTTTCGTACAATTAAATTTTTGAAAATTTTACTAACTTTATTAATTATTCAAGTTATTTAAATTACAATTATTAAATTTTTCATAAAACTTTGGTTCCCTGAACATTCTGACTTCATCTGTTATGGAAAAAATGATCGCAGATGTGATTTTTTATTTAGAAATAAAGGAAAGTACATAACAAATTCCTCAGACCTAGATTCCGAAAGGGTCAGGCCGACCTGGATTATAATATTTTATATTTTGTTAACTATTAATATAGATATATTATTAATTATTAATTTATAACTACCATTTCATTTACATAAATATTATTAAATTTTTGGTGCAAAATCTACAATCCAATTACTTTGTATTGCTGATACATTTTTTATATATGGCTTTGATGTCAAAACCTGTTAAAAATATTAAAAATATTAAAAAATAAATAATTCATGGATCAAAAAAAAAAAAAAAAACTTTATAGTGTACATACCAATTCAGCATACATTACAACTTCAATTTTTTTATTAAATAATGTTGACGATGGATGAATATTCACATTCTATTAATAATTTTAATGATATTAATGATATTATATTGTATTATGTTGTATAAAGAGATTATTACCTGATTTGAAACAATAACTTTATAATTGTTATCAGGTTGTAATATTGCAGATTGACGAAAGAAACCAAACAATAAACATTTTAATATGATTTCATAATCATCACCACATGAATTTGTAGGTGACATATTCATTCTATCACATAATTGATTTAATTGTTTTCTCACTTTCTATAATATTATATTGAAAAGAAATTGAAATTGAAATTGAAAAGAAATATTGAAATGATAAATCAGAAATTTAAGAATAATCAAATGTAAAAGAATACTCACGATTACATGCTTCATGTTTCTTCTATTAATATAATTTCTTCCGCACCAATCTACTTCACCTTTATGTGCTTCATAAGATTTTAAGACATTTAAATAAGTTATTAAATCTCCAAGTGGTGAAATGAATTTTTTCTTCATATCCATAGCATTTTCACGTTGATCTTGTGGTGTAAAAAATATAGAATCAACTGATAATAATGAGACAATGTCTATTGCCTCTTTGATACATCCCATAGACTGACTTAGCAATATGTACATAAAGAAAATATAATAATATAATATAAATTTTATTTTTATTTACTAATAAAATTACAATTTATCAAAAATATATTTTAGCTGCTATCAAGCGTATGTAAAATAAACACTACATACATAAAATACGTACCTGAGATGCAATAAGAACTCTAGAAAATGTAGGTTCAAGTGGAAACTCTGCCATTCTTTTACCAAGATCTTTAATTTTTCCTTGATTATCAAGTGCATTTAAAATAAATAATTGTTCCATCGCTCTTTTTACTAACCAAAATTAATAAAATAATCAAAAAAGGATTAATTCTTATTATCAAATAAATAAATAAATGAATAAATAAATAAATAATATAAATAATATAATCGAAATAATTAAAGATTTTATAAAAAAATATAAATAATAAAAAATATAAATAATAAAAAAATATAATAAAAATATAAATAATAAAAAAATATAAATTTACTTAAATTTCTTGAAGGAGCATCTAAATAATCAAATTCGAAAACATTGTCAATACCCAAAGCTTTCAACAATAAAATAATCGAAGCAATATTACACCTTTTGATTTCTGGGTCGGTCTCTTTTTCCATTTTGTCATATTCTTCTTCTGTGTATAAACGATAACAAAATCCTGGTCCCTAATAAACAATTTTTTTTTATTTATAAATAATTTTATAATTAATGAGTATAAAATATATTAATATCTTTATAATTATTTGCTAACCTCTCTACCAGCTCTTCCCATCCTCTGATCTGCAGAATTCTTTGAAATATTTTCTACAGATAAACTTTCCATTCCAATTCTTGCATTGAATTTTCTCATTTTACATTTTCCAGTATCTATAACATATTTTACGTTACCAATAGTAATAGATGTTTCTGCTATATTGGTAGAAAGAATAACTTTACGAGTTCCTGGCGGTGCTGGATCAAAAACTTTAGTTTGTTGTTCTGTAGGTAGAGCAGCAAATAACAAACATGTAATAATCTATAAATTATTATTATTATTATTATTATTATTATTATTATTATTATTATTATTATTATTATTATTAAGCATCTCTTGATAAAATTAAGTGTAGAATGTTGTCGTTTTACTTTTGGTTTTTCTGGTGGAATTGCGGAAGAATGTTCAAATATTAACTTTTCGAGAGTTTCAATATCTTCTTGACCTTATTTATCAGATCCAACAATCTTTATGAGTAATTTATTGTATGAGTATTTCATTATATGAGTAGAAAATAATAATAACCTGGCAAGAACACCAAGATATCACCAGCTGGCTGTTCAATATGTATTTGCAATATAGACGTAAAGGCGGTATCCAAATAATCTGATTTCGGTTCCATACAATAAATTATATTAACAGGAAATTGACGACCAGAAATTTTCAATATTGCTGCACTGCGAATATATTGAATATGTTGAATATATTGAATATATAAAAGATATGTTGATATATAAAATATGTTGAATATCTTGAATATAACAGAGTAAATCTTACGTGTTAAAATAATTTGCAAACTTTTCAGAATTTAAAGTTGCACTCATAATTATTATTTTCAAAGGTTTCATTTTACTTCTTCTAATTTCTTGAGCTCTTTTCATCATACCAAAAAGAATATCGGTACGCATTGTTCTTTCATGTGCTTCATCTAAAATAACTATAGAATAATTTAAAAGTAATGGATCTGAAAGTAATTCACGTAATAACATTCCATCTGTAAGATATTTGATGATAGTAGAATTAGATGTCATTTCATCAAATCGAACGGAATATCCAATCTTTAAAATAATAATAATAATAATAATAATGAACAAGTTTTAATATTGAGATTTACATAAAATGATAATAATAATAAATAAGAAAAATAAAGTTTACCTCACGACCAAGTTTTGATCCAAATTCTTTTGCTACTCTTGTAGCCAAACTTATAGCAGCAACTCGACGTGGTTGAGTTATTGCTATTGAACCATTTGAAGCCAGTCCAGCCTCCAACAAAAATTGAGGAGTTTCTATTTATGAATTACAATTACAATATACATAAATATATATATCATATTTAATTTTATATAGATATTTATAGATATTTATAGATATTTATACTTACGAGTACTTTTTCCACTTCCCATTTCACCTATGATAATAATTGTTTCATTATTTTTTACTGTTTCTATTAAATTCTTTTGTTCTAAAAATATATATATGTATTGTTTTTAATCTATAAATTGATGTTATATGTTTTATATTCAATTTACTTTAATAAACTACCTTTCCATATTGGTAATCTTGTACGAAATGTTTGTAAATTGTTAAAAGCATTAGATCCAGAATTCTTTTTAGGTTTTATATTAATGTTTGTTGCTTTTTTGTTAATTTTGAGCTTTTCAGTTGTATTGGTTGTATTATAGTTATCGTCTTCAATTGAAGAAAATCCACGTTTATTTTGTTTCTTTAGTTTATTTTTCATTTCCGTTAAATTTTTTACAGTATTTAAGTTCGATATAATAAATTATTTTAAAATTTATCACTTTGGCTGGAGATCGTACAGATCAAATCTTTACTATTGCTATTTCTAAAAGATTTCTACTAATAAATATAATAAATATAAATAATAAATATTATTATTTTTATTTATTAAATACATACGAAATTAAGTTATATTAATATTACTTTTTTATATTATATTATAAAATAATAAAAATATTAGAAATATTAGAAAATATTAGAAATATTAGTCTATAATTTATAATTCTATAAATTAATTAATACCAGATATTAAATAATAAAAATTGTTAATTAATAATAAAAATAATAAAAAATTAAAAGAAGTTAGCAGCCCATAAATATAAAAATAAATTAAATAAATTAAATCGATAATGTATTAAATAATTAATATAATTAATGACGTCGAGGTTTAAATACAAGAATAATAATCAACCCAAAAATAATTAATAATAATAAAAGTATTATTTTTCTATTTCTTGATTTTTTTTGATAATTTCCTCCCTATAGAATAAATAAATAAATAAATAAATAAAAAATAAATAAAAAATAAATAAAAAAAAAATAAATAAATAAATATTCAATAAATTCAATAAATATATAAATAAATAAATAAATTTATAATTATTAAAAATTATCTTGCCTTATCTAATTCATTAACTGCAGATTTGACATTAAAAACCATTTGTTCAATATTAAAGTCTATTCTATCTAATATTGTTCCATGATCAATAACGAGAGTCTGAAGATCTTTAAATATTTCTGCTAATGTATTTATAGATTTTACAATTTCATTAATTTCATGTTCTCTTTGTGCTATTATTACATCTGATGATTCCACAACTTGTAATTGAGTTTCAGTGAAACCCTATAAAAAAAATTATATGAAAAGAATTAGAAAGTTATATGAAAAATTATGAAAATTAACAAATTATATGAAATTAAAAAGTTATATAAAGATGAACAAAAAAATTCTAATTTTTTACATATTCTTCAAGAGAATCTTCATTGTCTATTGAAAATAAATCCGAACTTCGAGTTTCTCTTCCTTTAAGTTCTAAAATATTTTTTAAATAATTAAAATAATTAATTATTATTATTTGTTTAATTTCATTAAAATATTAATCAATTAATCAATTAATCAATTAGTCAATTAATCAAATTAATCATAATTAATCAATTCATTGAAATACAAATATAAATAATATTAAATAAATAATAATAATAAATAAATAAATAAATAATATTACTCTTCATATAAACTGATTGTTGTTTCCTAAAACTAGCTGATAAATCCTGTACTTTTGTTGCCAATGATGTTTGAATATTTTTATTTATGACTAATTCTTGACTTGATAATGTAGATTTGCTTTGATCAGCTATTTGTCTAATTTTTCGTTGACATTGTTGAAAAAGCTATTTGAAGAATAGAAAAATTTAAAAATTTAAAAATAAAGAAAAATAGATCCTTTGAAAAATTGTAAACTGTTAAAATATTACTTGTGTTATTTCTGTTGTTCGTCTTTCTATCTCTTCCTCTTCCCCCGTTCGATCGTCAAATCCAGGTAAAACATGCTTCCTGTGAAAGGACTCCAACTTTGTAACTATAAAATGCACAAACATATATTATATTATTATAAATGCACAAATATATATTATATTATTATAAAAAGTAAAAAATATAATAAAAATATAATAATAAATATATAATAAAAGTATAATAGAAATATAATAGAAAGTAAAATAAAAATATAATAGAGTAAAATAAAGGCTTTACCAAGATTTTTAATGTGATCAATGTCTTCGTTAACTTCTTCAACTATGTCAGCCCTAAAGTAAAAAAAAAAAAAAAAAAAAAATTCTTGAAAAATCTAATCACAAAAGAAAAACTCACTTTAGACTTTATATACTTTATATGAAAGATAAACTTTACCATTTCGGTGGTAAAACTGAAAGTTCTATAATGTGATCTGAACTTTCAATTAATCCAGTATGTTCAGAAGTATTAGAAGTATTATAACCTGAATTCGTAAAAAGTCGAGAGTTACGAGAACTTAAAAAAGAATCCCGATATTGTTTAAAAAGTGAAGTGCGGCTTCTAGACGTCATCGATTAAAAATCAATTTTTGCATTTCAAATTAAATAACTTTGTGATTGTGTCACTATTTTCTTTATAGATTTAAAAAAACGTGACTAATACAAAAAGTTTATTCTTCTCATTTATGAGAAACAACCTTTTATAGTAAAAACCATCTAATTTCAAATTCATTTCGTTGTTATTCAGTATCGAGATAATTCCCGATCACTCAAATAACTATGCGATAAGGATCGAAAAAAAAAAAATAAAACTAGAATATTCAAGTATCAAATTTACATGTTATCTATTTTCAGGCAGATGCCTTGATTCTTAGATCAAATTATATACAATTCTTGTCTGTCATTAGGTAAAACAAGTAAATTGATTTGATGGATAAATATTATAGAAGAATCCTTAGAAGAATCCTCATTTTTAGGTATTTCGAGAAAGAGTATACTAATTAATAAAGCTAATTTGGATTGCACATAAATTGAATATAATTGTATAATTTAATAATTTAATTATATAAATAAATATTCTTGGATTCACCAAAGGAATATTTTTTTAATATTAATCATGTAATTAATTATCATTTTTTCAAAAATAATAAAAATTTAAATTTCTTCATACCTTTTAATTAAGACATTAAGACCAAACAGAAAAATACTTGCTATAATCTAATCGCAAGAGCAATTGGTCTAAATGTCGTGGGGGACCACCAAAACCTTCGCCTTTTTTATTAAGGCCAGAAAGAGTTCGAAACAAAAATGTAACTTGCTCTCGAAATTCCTTGATATTATACAAATTATACAAATTAAACAAATAAAAAAAAATAAATAAAATAAACTTTTAATTTCAGGGAATGAAAAACTTACTTTTTCTAATTTGATGATAGAATCTGATATATTTTTGTCCACCATATTACTATTTAATCTCTCTAATAAATCACAAATTTGATCACAAATATTCAGAGATTTTTTGATTGCGTCGGAACAAACACGAGATTCAAGAAGACATCCATGTAAGAGATCACTAAGATAAGTTGAATGACCGATCCGAATATCTTCAAAATCACGGAAAGGTTCAGTTTCAACAAGATTAGTTTCATTAGCATATGAGATTTTCTTGTGCGCTGGAATCTTTAATTTACGGAATTGTTGATGTTGTGCTGAAGATATATTGATACGATGAACAAGTTTTCTAAAGTTGGTCTCAATAATATCCATCTATTATATTGAATATTTAAAAAATATTTAGATGTATATATTGATTATTATTATTTTCATTATTATTTAATTTATTCTAACACAAACATATTCTTTAACATATTCGTTAAAATATGCTTTAACGTATGCTTTAACATATTCTCAAAAAATATATTACATACCTGTACATGTCCCCACAAACAATCTATAAAGAACATCATAGAAGATAAAACTTTCCATAATATTAGTCTACTTGAACCATTATCATTAAATTTATTATTATTATTATTATTATTATTATTATTATTAATATTATTATTATTATTATTATTTTTATTATTATTATCGGATGAAACTTTTTCAGTTATCGTGAGATGTGTCCAAACTTTTTGAAGTCGTATTTGTGTACGTCGAAGAGAAAAGAGAAATGAAAATATATCACCATATTTAGCCAAATCTTCATTTGTAACAAATAAATCTAAAGGCCACTCAATATCATATTCAAATCTAAGAGGTACATTAATTGTGATATTATCAAACATATTAGTTCTCGTTACGAATTGCTTGTCATTTGCATTCTGAATTCTAAATCGAAATTTTTCAAATGATGAATCATTTTCGGCAAGTGTTCCGATAGATGCACGAACTAAAAGTGAATTTAATTCTTGATCTTTAATTGTCAAACCCTTTGGTCTTGAAGTTCTTAACTTTTCAAATTGATCAACAAGTGAAATAGAAAAGTCCCCTTGTCCAAATAGAAAATAATTTCTAAAAGCTTCTAAACATTCAATAATTTTATCTCCAGTCAAAACAACTTGCCATAACCATTGTGCTACATTATTTCTAATGATTGTTACCGTGTTTTCTAATTCAATTTGATGAAATATCACTCTTGATGAAAGTTCTAAAAGATGTTGAAGATGTAAAGAATTAAGTGAACGTGGCAATGTACTATTTTTTTCATATGGTTTAGTAGCATTCCTTACTGTTGCTATGGCTTTCCCAACAAATAAAATTGATTTAGCGATATCAAGTGTTATATGTTTTGGAATGAATCGTTTTTCAAGTACGAAACGTCTATGCCATTTTGATTCATTAAATAATTGTTCCCCTTGAATTTTATTATTATTATCATTATTATTATTATTATTATTATTATTATTATTATTATTATTATTATTATTATTATTATTATT